CCCCGCCCTCAGGAGGAGGGGGCCTGGCTGCCCCCCACCACCCCGCCGCGGGGTCGGGTGCCAAAACGCGCCACCCGTCAGTCTCACCCGTTCAAACGCAGACCCCCCCCAGCTCAAAGGGGCCGGACTGAAAACCCCCTGGGAAGGGCTGGCTTGCAGGGGGGTTGCAGCCATTGCAGTTTCTGAGCACGCATTATATGGACTGCCCTTCTTCTTCAGTATTGCCCTACCTAGGCAGCCATGTGGTCCGCTGGAGCCACAATGTCCTGCCACCAAACTGCAGGATCTTGACGATTCACCGGGCTAAAAAGGGGTAAATCCTGGAGGTTTCGGAAGAGTTCCCGTTTCAGTCTTTTATGTCTGATTTCTATTATTCTCTCGCCCATATTTAACTCTGTAGCTATTTTTGTGCACAATCCGTCGATGTTCTGAGAATAACCAGCTGCGTGCATGTTGAAGAGTTGTCTGCACCTGGCTTTTTCCTCCGTAAAAAGCTGCCCTGGCATTGCTAACACTTGTGAAGCCACATCACACTAGTGCAGCACTGGAAGAGGCTCCCCAGAGAGGTGGTGCAGTCTCCATCCTTGGAGGTTTTTAAGACCTGGCTTGACAAAGCCTTGGCTGGGATGAGCTAGTTGGGGCTGCTCCTGCTTGGAGCAGGGGGTTGCACTAGATGTGACCTCCTGAGGTGCCTTTCCAACCTTCATTTTCTATGATGGGAGATAGCAATGCTGGGAGTTTGAGTAGATAGGATTTTTGAAGGCACTGGCATTTTTAACCCCATGGAATAATGGTTTTGAAATACAAGCGCTCCTAACAGCTAAAGAAGTGCCTGAGGCAGTTGTCCACTTATTCTTCTTTCTCTTAAACCATATTTTTCTGTCACAGTTATAGTACTAGGAAAACAACTGAAGGGAGTTTCTTCAAGCTTGCAAAATTAAAGATGACAAAAACACTTTGGGTTGAAAATGAATCTGGGTAATGTCACCTCAAAGGGACAATTTTTGCAAGCTGCTCTACTGATTTTGAAAGGGACGGTATTAGAAGGGAATGGTCATCTTGTATGAGCTTCTTGCTTGCTATCAGCTTGCCATACAATGCAGTCATATGGCAAGTGAAAGAGCAATGTGAAGCAAGAAATAAATTAGATAATTATAGATGTTGGTGGTAGATATCACTTCTAGATGATCCAAGTCATACTCTTGGTCAGCTTAATCTTGTTCTCTACCATATTTTCTACTCCTTTATCCGGTCTAGGATTAAATGCCTCAAGAGGAATTCCTACGATGCAGCTTTGCAAAGGGCCACGTGTAGCAATTCTTGCTGCAGCGTTACTGTGCAAAGTCCACTCTTGGTGTGTTGAGAAGTGGAAGATGCCTTCAGATCAGTGTGGCCAAAAGCTTGGAGCCTTAGGATATATTTATTCAAGCCTCCATGTTTGGGAGAAATGGGTTACATGGAAATCATGGGCGTGCTGGAAGCAATGTCATGCACAGTGTCTTAAGAAGTACAGAGGTCCGCTGTGACCTGTACTCTTAGAAATATGTCTAACATTACAAGTTATGAACATGGGATCATAGGAGGCAGAAACTGAAATGACCTAGCAAATGTCTGGGTCGATCCTTTTTGTCCGTCTATCCCTGTGTGCATTCACTACCGCATTGAGGCACCTCACACTTTTGTCCTTCTTCAGCCACTTAAAAACACAACCTTTTCGTCAAGAATGAACAGAATGTGTTTTTGCACTCTTTGGTTTAGGCAAAACAAGACACTTTGTCCTGTTTGGGAACCTTTAATCTGAACAGTCAAAAAAGCACATAACGTACTCTTTATAAATCAAAGGTCAAAACTGCTGGTCATTTTATACCTCCATGAGCACAAAGCTCATGTATGGACCGGATTTGATGCAATTCGCAGAGCGAGGTTCTGGTCCTGCAATCCAGACTCGCAGAGCTTGAATGCTCTCTCCTAAGGACCTTCAGGGTCCCTCTCTCTCTGCTCATCTCTTATACTCATGGGATCTAGTCATTTTTAAAGCTGCCAATGTCATAGCATTATAATGGTGATTGCATTAAAAAAAAACTCCCATAGCAAGGTAGCATGGAACAGGAGTAGAGGGATGAGCAAAATGTGGAGGCTTGAATGACACAGATTCGACCTCAGTCTTGAAATGGAAAAAGAGGAATTTCAGTGGGTGACAGAGCTCTAAAAGCTACCTCCTGTTGTAACTTTTCTTCACATTCCACAAAAGCCTCCTAGGTCTGCGGACACAAAATATTTGAAGAATCCATGAGAGAGATTTTTGTAGACCAATCGGCTGAATTTAATCCAGGATGTCCCCCATTCTTTTATTGTGGGCAGCATCTTTTGTTTTGCACAAGCAAAGAAAAGGACCTTGAATCCCATGTTTTGCAGTAAAAATAGATCGAAACATATTTTCTTTAGCCGAGCAGAGGAAAACCGCA